TATATATATATACAAGTAGGCCTATAATACTAACAGTATAGGCCTACATATGGTTCAAAGATATATTTATTAGGCTAAATATGTGGCTTACAGCTCCCCCTTAAAGCTCTTGTCTTTTTCTCCTTTTCTATCTCTCCAATTTTATTGTGCTCACCGGTGATTGGAGATGAGTGGGTCCGTGCCCTCCCGCTTTATTGCAGTTTGCAGATTTTTGAAAAATAACTTGTTTTTGCTTTTCAAACTTTTGTTTTTCAAATAAAATGGTGGGTTCAGTTTAATAAGTTGCAGGCTCATTTATTGGTAATAAATAGGCCTATTTTATAATAAATAATTGATTTATATTGGTCTTGTTTCAGGGCTTATTTTTGAAGCTGCGGTTGCTTATTTGTCTCACGAGAGTTGGAAACAGTGGATAGTGAGTATGAGACAAAAAGAGCAGGAGAGACGGAAGAGTAAGCAAGCAGCATCTTGAATATAACATCTAAACTTCTGTTAATTCTGAACAAAAACTGTTATATGAAATTAATTCAAACTGGTTAGTACTGTAAGTGAAGACGCAGAGATCTTGAGAGATCTGTTAGTGTGTAATGGTCTGTTTCTGCAAGTCATTTGACTTGTTTTTTTTTTTGGATCGTTAAAATTCAGGAAATACCTGTAAAATAACAGCATTTTTCTGTTAAACGTTTAATGCAAATTTCTGAAAATATTTTGTACTGTATTTAAATTAGGATATTTTACTTGAATTGTTCATTTGGCAACTATTACTACCAGTCATTTGACATGTATTTATTTATTTATATAATTTTGTGAGCAATGGTGTCATCTGTCCATTTACACCATCTGGTGGTGATTTCACGAATTATTATCGCCATTTGTTTTTTTGTAAATTTACATACATATCTAGGTAATTTAAGAAAACAGAAAAATACTCTATAAATAATTCTTTTTTTGTGTCATTAATGATATAATATTTAAAATAACAGCCAAATTATTAATTTTACAGACGTAGTAATTTTACAGTTTTGTGTACAATTTATGGCAATTTATATTTATTTACATATGTGTATTATGTCATCATACCTCAAAATCTAATATGCATGACTCAAGATTTGTTTGACGTTGCAGGTTGTTCTGTATCCAAATGCATTTTGTCAAGTGAAGTGAAATTAAACAGATATCTTATGATAAGGGAGTAGGGTGCAGATTAAAGGGATAGTTCACCCAAAAATGAAAATTAGCTGTTAATTTACTGATCCTCTGATCATCCATGATGTAGGTGATTAGTTATTTATTTATTTTTACTGAGTGGAGAGTAAATCATATTTTAGCTGAAACCGTGGTCATTGGTGACTTTTGAAACCCTGGACAGTATTCATTAAACAGACTACAATCAATGCATGTCTTCTGTCAAAACTGGACAGGTATTAAGGAATAAAACATTGATTATCATTGTCATTAACGTCAGATATGTGCAGGAACGGCAGAACATATGATTTAGAATTGGTTTTGGATGTTGTTAACCTCAGGCATTAGCTACATGAGTACACTTCATATCACTTTCACTATAGCCTACCTTCTCCTCAGTGTAAAGATCCAAATCATTTTTTGATTCAGAAAACTGCAGTACAACATGCAATGCTGTAGTAATTTATTCATGTAGAAAGCAAAGATAAACAAAGGATGGGAGTGTTTATTGTGTAAATACAAAACCCCCTGGAGGAAGGATAAAGGTGCATAAGTAAAATAAAAAACAATGAAAAAAGTGCAATATTAGTATTGCTCAGAAAACAGTAGTTTGATTCATTTTGCTTATAGGATCAGTGGACTGTAGTGTAACATCATCTTGTTCCACTTAATCTGGCAATGAAATCAGAGGGAAAAAAAATATTAAGGCAACAGAAACATAAAGTACATACAGTGGGTACGGAAAGTATTCAGACCCCCTTAAAGAGAGGTAAAGAAGAACCCAAAGATCACTGTGGCTGAGCTCCAGAGATGCAGTCGGGAGATGGGAGAAAGTTGTAGAAAGTCAACCATCACTGCAGCCCTCCACCAGTCGGGGCTTTATGGCAGAGTGGCCCGACGGAAGCCTCTCCTCAGTTCAAGACACATGAAAGCCCGCATGGAGTTTGCTAAAAAAACACCTGAAGGACTCCAAGATGGTGAGAAATAAGATTCTCTGGTCTGATGAGACCAAGATAGAACTTTTTGGCCTTAATTCTAAGTGGTATGTGTGGAGAAAACCAGGCACCTGTCCAATACAGTCCCAACAGTGAAGCATGGTGGTGGCAGCATCATGCTGTGGGGGTGTTTTTCAGCTGCAGGGACAGGACGACTGGTTGCAATCGAGGGAAAGATGAATGCGGCCAAGTACAGGGATATCCTGGGCGAAAACCTTCTCCAGAGTGCTCAGGACCTCAGACTGGAACTAAGGTTTACCTTCCAACAAGACAATGACCCTAAGCACACAGCTAAAATAACGAAGGAGTGGCTTCTCAACAACTCTGTGACTGTTCTTGAATGGCCCAGCCAGATCCCTGACTTAAACCCAATTGAGCATCTCTGGAGAGACCTAAAAATGGCTGTCCACCAACGTTTACCGTCCAACCTGACAGAACTGGAGAGGATTTGCAAGGAGGAATGGCAGAGGATCCCCAATTCCAGGTGTGAAAAACTTGTTGCATCTTTCCCAAAAAGACTCATGGCTGTATTAGATCAAATGGGTGCTTCTACTAAATACTGAGCATTTTTCAGTTTTTCTTTTTTAATAAATCTGCAAAGATGTCAACAATTCTGTGTTTTTCTGTCAATATGGGGTGCTGTGTGTACATTAATGAGGAAAAAAAATTAACTTAAATGATTTTAGCAAATGGCTGCAATATAACAAAGAGTGAAAAATTTAAGGGGGTCTGAATACTTTCCGTACCCACTGTATATACAAATAAACATTTCTACACACCACGTCTCTCTCCTTTTATCTCTCACCTGAATATACCTCAACTTCACACAGTGTGAGGTATTCATTGCGTCCAGGCACAATAAGGTTGACGTATCGCCCCTTAATAGGCTTAAACTCAAATGTTTTGGTGTTTCCAAGTGGGATGGGCCCAACAGTTGCAGCCCTGTGAAGACACACAGAAACAGAGAAAAAGAGAGGGACATATCAAAACTATATGAAGCATATTAAATATACTTCTGTCAAAGGCAAGTTTGTATTAGAAGGATTTACAATTGCTTAGACCTAATCTTTAGTTTTGAGAAATGGAGCTATAGTTTCAAAAACTGTAAGCATTAAAAAAAAACTGTAAACGATTTATTCAAAGCAATTTTATTATATTTATTAATTTTTGAATCCTTTATGCAAGCATTAAGAGAGAGACAGCACTTACAGCTCATTATTGTTGCCGTTATTCTCCAGGCTGTTGCCGATACGGATCTGAATACCCTCGATCCTCTTTTCACAACAGTCTCCACGATTAGTGATGCTAACCCTGGTTACCCTGTAGACGTCCAACAAGTCAACTCTCCACCAGGGGTTCATGTCCCCGTTAGTCACGCTGAATCGACTGCCTGTTGCCATCGACAGCATTTTGAGCAGCTGCTAAATCACTGTATGTGGAAGACTGAACAGCTTTGCCTCCAAGAGCAAGATTCCCTGTTTAACATAAAATAACCGACAGTTATTATTATTATTATTATCGATATGTATTGGTACAGCAGCATATGCCGTGACACAGTTTTGAAACAGAAAAGACCATTTTAAAGGGCAGCCTATTATGCAAAATCCACTGTAACATGATGTTTGGACATAAATGTGTGTTATCAGTGTGTGAACATAACCACCCTACAATGATAAAATCCACCCGCTCCTTATTTTTAATCCCTATTAAACCAAATCAGTCTCACGATTCTCTGAGCAGTGTGACGTCACATTGTTTAGGCCCCGCCTACGGCCGCTGACTGACAGTCCTGCTTTACCGTAGTTTCCGCCCTCAGCAAGTTGTGTTTGGTTGTACGTGCTCGAGCAGCTGTAATGTCAACTTTCCCCTTGTCCAAATACCCGCACTTGCGGTCTTTGCACTTGACCACTTGACGTATATGACGTATTTCCTGTATTTGGTCCAAGTGTTCAAATGAGCATGAAGACCACAAGTGTGTGTAGAACTTTTCATTACCTGATAGGACACACTTATAGTGTTGTAAAAATGCAAGTGTTTACAGAGCTTTATTTTTATTTTAAATACTTTGCATTTTAAAATCAACATCTAAATGTCTGTTCAGTAGTCCCTATAACAGATGACACTATTTAATTTTGTGTTGCTTCTAATTAAGTGATAAAAAGCAGTTGCAAATGTTGTACAAAATAAATATCACCACTACTCCTTTGCACCAATAAAACGTGCAACTCTTTGTTTTACTACCAAATTATATGTAATATCTAATTATTATTAATATTTAACATAACTTGCAAAGGTTTCCGTGACCTCTTGTGAGATCTCGGCAAAAAGTCTCACGATTTATGATGCATGATGGGATACACTAAGCCTCGAATACGTGTACATGTTTATACAAGTTTACAATGCTGTTGCAGATTAAATATAACACAGATAACATTAAATAAATACTTTTTACCAGGTTAAATGTTGTTGATTATTAGTAACTTGAACCCCTTTATCTAAACCTCTCTACTTAACAGTCTGTCGCGCATATCCATGTTTGTCGTTTTTTGAGCTTTATTTTTATTTTCAATACTTTGCATTTTAAAATCAACTTCTAAATGTCTGTTCAGTAGTCCCTATAACAGATGACACTATTTAATTTTGTGTTGCTTCTAATTAAGTGATAAAAAGCAGTTGCAAATGTTGTACAAAATAAATATCACCACTACTCCTTTGCACCAATAAAACGTGCAACTCTTTGTTTTACTACCAAATTATATGTAATATCTAATTATTATTAATATTTAACATAACTTGCAAAGGTTTCCGTGACCTCTTGTGAGATCTCGGCAAAAAGTCTCACGATTTATGATGCATGATGGGATACACTAAGCCTCGAATACGTGTACATGTTTATACAAGTTTACAATGCTGTTGCAGATTAAATATAACACAGATAACATTAAATAAATACTTTTTACCAGGTTAAATGTTGTTGATTATTAGTAACTTGAACCCCTTTATCTAAACCTCTCTACTTAACAGTCTGTCGCGCATATCCATGTTTGTCGTTTTTTGACGCGTTTTATTCATGTTTGTAGTTCTCAACCGAATCATTCGTCAAAGCGCAATGGATTGTGGGTAATATTAGCCATTAGAGTGTGCACGGATCTACACTTTAAAAATCTACCTGAAATAGTACACCATTCAGGGACTTTTGGCATACTCTTTTCAACATACTATGCTTTGGGACACACTTATTCTAATCGTACATACTATTTAGGATGGATAGTATAAACATTGGGACGCAGGGCAAGTGTGGGTATTTGGACAAGGGTAATGGCCCTGTCCCAAAATGGCACACTTCACGTGCATTTGCGGTCTTGCGGAATTACAATGGCTACCGCGTGAGCGTGTGCGTGTGCGTGTGCGTTAAGTCCACGAGACCGTAGGGTGTCCCATTCTTCAATTTAGCTTTCAGAAGGGTGCTCGCAAGCGCCCCCCTTGCGGCCTTTATGCTCTCTCGATGCACACTTCTGCCGAGCCCGCACCAACAGTCAAAGCAGCATTACGTCATGAAAGTGTGGACTCAGGCCACGAGGGTTTAGGGTGCGATTTGGGACAGGGCCAATGTCTCGTGAGCAATGCTGGTGTTCTGTGTTTGGATGTAAGACTGAACATAAGAGTCTTCATTTTCTCACAACATCTGAGCCACTGAGGACACAGTGGATTACTTTTATTTTTGAAGCTAATGCGCCTCAAAATCATGTCGTTATGGTGCTTAGCTAACGTTTTAACCGTATTTCTGTGCGTGTCGTTTCAGCACATAGAGAACGTTATCATAGAATTTGTGTGTGTGTTGCAATATTAGATCTTATAAAAAGAGCATAATAGGTGCCCTTTAAGTTTAAAAGATAAAAAATATTTTCTTTGCACCTATTAATAACTCCGGGATTAGAAACTGAAGTGTATTATTATTATTATTGAGTTTACCGGTTGGTGGTTTTGCTGTTGTAAACACTACTGTTGCTGTTGTATAAAAAAAACATATGCTGTCATATTTAAAATATAAATCTATTCTAATCCCGTTCTAAATTTATTAATTTTTGAATGATAATAAAAACAGGACTGATAAGTAAAATTCGGGGGATGAGAAAATCAGGATAAGCCTGTATAAGTTTTACCAGTGCTGTGATAGCCTAATTATTTTTAAGGCACTCTACGGTACGTTTTTTGAATAAATACTCTAATAATAGTAGTTCAAAGTATAAATAGTTTTTAGTCAAATAAACCATAAAACCAGACCCCTCGACGCCCGTGAAACAGGGCCAGTGTAAATACATCCATTTAAATTCAATGAAGCAGGATAGTCTATGCATGACCTGACGTTTTATTCGTATCCAAAACGGACTCATAGAAGTAAGCAGAAAACCCGTCAATTAGACTTACCGGCAGCCGCGGGCGTTATTGAAGGTATCCTGGTAGTGCACCAAATTACTGAGGTCGGAAGAGGTCATCATGTGGGTCATTTTATTTACGGCTAAATTATTATTCATCAGTTTTACTAATAGTTAGATTGGGCAGGACTTCACAAAATAGCCTTTAATTGCAGTAATGATTTTTTGAATTAATTTTTTTAAGGGAGAATGGGAGAAAACCTGCTACATTTGTATGAAAAAAAAATCCCCAAAACAAGCTTCTTTTTTAAAATGCAAAGTATTTTATTTATTATTATGTATTTATTTATATATATTTTTGAGGAAACTTTGAGGCCAGGTTGGCACTTTATTTAAGCATCTAACGTCTAATGGTTATTTAGTATTCAGTATTACTGGCTTTGAACTTAATAATAAAATAAAATTGTTCTAAAAAAAAATACAATATAAATAAATAAATTTCATATGGTTATTTTTATTTATTTTTTTACGTTTTGAAATAGCCTTTAATTACCAAAAAAAAAAAAAAAGAGGACATTTTGCCTTGACAGTTAACAACTATCTGGATGTACATGATCCCTTATCTGGTTACCAAATATATGTGTTGCTGACAGCATTCAGAGTAATGAAGAGCACTCACTTCGAACACAAATGTACAGTGGTTTGTCCTTTTCTGTTAATAAAATAATAACGCATACACACATTAGTAAATACATGAACAAATTCTATCACAGAGTTGTCGTCTCTCTCTGTCCCTTACCTGCAAACACCTCGACTTCACACAGAGTAAGGTATTCATCATTCCTGGGTAAAAAATTGTTGACATATCGACTATTAAAGGTCCCATGACATGCTGCTTTTTGGATGCTTTTATATAGGCCTAAGTGGTCCAGCCAAAGCAGGATCCCCAGGGCTCGGTTGACCCCTATCGCCATTTCTAGCCACTGGGGGACCATAGGCAGGCTAGGGGAACTCATATTAATGTTAAAAAACCTCATAAAGTGAAATTTTCATGCCATGGGACCTTTAACAGGCTCAAATTCAAATGTTTTTGTGCCATCAGGAACAGTGAGAACCATTGCAACCCTGCAAATACATAAAGAACAGTGTTAAAAATGGAAATCAGAGGCATCTCAATGCAATGCACATTTAACAAATTCAGTTAGACTGTATTGAAATCAAATGAGATTGTATAGCACTCTTCACAATACAAATGATTGTACATGTTTTATATCACATTGCTATAAATTTAAAGTTGTATTGTGTACGCAGAAGCTCCTTCAGTGACTCAACAGACAAGTGATTACTTTCCTTTTTCCACTGGCTTTGCATCAGTGAAAAAAAAACTCTCTCTACATTTGCATTGTGAGAAAGACTAGCAAAGATAAACTGTGCAATCTTCAGTAGCTCTGAAAGAAACTCGATGCTTTTGGACCTTTCAAAATATTTAGTCCACTTCTTGTGTGCTTGCAGATCACTGAAATTTCCATCACTGTTACATCTTTCTGTGATTTTCTTCAGGTCGGTGACATAAATTGACCCTTCTCAAAGACCCGCCCCCCCTTAGTTACTGTTGCTATGTCCGAAAAGTCATGGCGATCTCACACCACACATCATGTTCTCACGCAGTGAAAAATACATTGCGGAGCAAAGAGGAAACTGACAACACGCCGACAGACATGCAGTTTGACCAATGTTTGCTTACATGATGACCAATGGAGGCGTGTGAGAATTCGGGACGTAAAGAGAAAAGTCAAAGCAATGCAAAATCTCACAAAATGAATGGCGACTGTAGAAAACAAAAGCTGAATCCCAGACACTTTTGATGATTTAGAAATCCTGGCTGGATACATTTGTTTTTTTAGGTCCAAAAAGAGGACATGTCCGGGAAAAAGAGAATGTATGGTCACCCTAGTTAAACCAGATCGAGCACCATAAACATCGGGAGAGGATAAAACATTTGAAACATTTCTTACAGCTCATTGTTGTTTCCATTGTTCTCCAGCTTGTTACCAATACGAATCTGAGCTCCTCTGAGTCGCTCTTTGCAACAGTCTACACGATTAGTGATGGCAACCTTGCTTATACTGTAGACATTTCCGAGGTCAGCTCTCCACCATGGGTTAAACTCAGCTTTAGTGTGAGTGCATGAGCCCTTCCCGTAATTTGCATTTCTGTTTCCATCTACTGCACGTTCAGCAACTCCCTCGATGTGGAGTAAGGAGGACTGCACCACTCTGGCATTAAGAACAATATTCCCTGTTCAATCAATAAAAAATAAGACAGCTTCAAAGCAATACAAACAAATCAATCAATCGAGCAATCAATCAACCAACCACAAGCTTCCAATTAGCATATTTCAGCCTATAATTTTAATAATTTAATTTGATTGATATGTACTATGATGACTCACAATGGTTACAGATAAACATACCTCTCAAATTAGTAACACACAGCCCAGTAAAAAGTGTTAGTACTAAAATCACACGTATGGCCATCCTGATTTAAGACATAACAACACATCACATCATCCCAGCATATGAAGAAATCCTTTTCAATTTCTCATCCTCATTTACACAAAGAAAAGGAATATAGTCCACATTGAACACCTGATAAAAAGTTTTTAATGCAGTTAATAAACCTTTTCAATTGCATCTGTTTTCTTTCATGTTTTTTCACAAATTCAGTCTTGATTAATATAATTTAAGCTAGCTGCTCGCAATTATCAACAAACACTTGGTTTACTATTTTGTGTTTTTCTGAAGTATGAACATGACATTTACACTGATATTAAGGTTTTGTGAAAGGAAAAATACAACAATAACTAAAAAGTAGCACAACTTTGTCTCTTTTGGCAATGAGCTTTGTTACAAGTTTGATCAGTTTTGAGTGTCTGTACCTTTTTTTTTCAAATGTATCACTAATGAAAGTGATACCAAATTTGTTTAAAACTCTGTAATCAATATATA